TCGTCTGGGACATATTTCCACAAACAACCTCCCCTTTTGTATGAATGAGTTGCTCCCTGTCTGTGCACCTGTAGACCCTAGGTGTCCTTCTATCTTAACACTGAACATAGTATACTTGTGATTTTTGTCTATTTCCTATACCAGTCATGGACCTTGGAGGACAGGAACTCTGTTCCCTTGATGTTTGTCTTTCCAGTGCTTGATAAATGCTCATTTACACAAGAGAAAAGGCAGCATTCATTGTCTTGTTATGGATAATGGTGAAGCTGTGTGCACAAATAGGGGGAAAAAATTTGCATGTATTTCAGAAAATTATTTCTAGTTCTTTGTGAGTTCCTTTTTATTTCTATTCTGATGTGAACATTATTTTAATGCAATTATTCCTTCCTCTCACACTCTCTCTCTCACTCCTAAAGGATTTGTAAAGGTCTTGGCATTTATTCACTTGGAATAAGATTGAAGGCCCACAAAATAAACAGAGGACACTTAGTAGTTTTAAAGTGTGTTAACCCACAAAAATTAATTTCTTTTTCTTCATGCCCATTTGGGAAGATGGTTCTCTGGGACTGTAATTATGGATGAATGGCACTGAAATGCTTGAAGAATAATTTGTAGGAAATACAATTAGGAGTAGAAGTGATTAGTGGGAGTAAATTAATAGTTTGTTGGTTACAGGTCAATGCTACATGCCTGAAGTGGTTAAATACTGTATTAAATTACAAGTTAAGAGCATGACCCTGTGTATTTAAGTGTATTCATACAGTATCAAGTTTTTCAAACTGTATTTTTACGTTTTTTGGCTTGTGTTAGAGAAAGGAAGAGAGCTTCCCAACCTGGGTTTCTTGAGTTCTGTGAAGGGAAATGACTCCCGTTTGAAATGTGTGCAGCGTTTTCCTCATCAGAGAAGTCAGTTGGCCCACCTTCTGAGACCCTTAAATAACATTTATGAAGTAAGGGAAATAATATTTGACTATCAAAGACAATTGGGTACCGTTAATTTACAGTTATTTCCAGAGGCCAGCAATTCCATTATGTGTCCAGTTCTTTGGTTCTGGATTCGGGAGACCTGTCTTCAGAACTTGGTGCTCACGTCGCATCATTGTGTAATCTTGTCCTTGAAGCATTTTAGCTCCCTAAACTGTGCAGTCTACTAAAAGAAAAACAACAAAAACGAAATAGTTTTTACTTCAAGTAAGACTACTCAGCATAGGTTGGGTTTATCCTGGGTTCTTAATGCTTGCACTTTTTTCCTACTTTTTACCTATCAGACATCATATATTCATTTAGGTATATATCTGAGGAGGTTTTCAAAAGAATGTCCGGAAAGCAATGCTCAGAATAGTTCATTTAAATCCCTATGAGCTGAATGCTAATCCTGTAGGAATTGTGCTACACAAAGGAAATAAGGGAGCAACCCTGTGTTCAAGTTCCTAAATGTTGAGGTGGTGATTTCATATATATGTACTATAATAATTCCAGAATGATTTAATACTGAAATAATTGGTACTGACTGTAGGTTATAAACCATGTCTCCCCAGGTCCCCCCACCCGCCAGCCTGCTCAGTCTGTGGATATTTCAGTAGTGAGAGCAAACATTTTATTTATTATAATGTATTATATATAATTAATTTTAATATACTATTATTGCCCCCTTTCCTCCCCTGCCAGCTCTCACGGACTCTAATCCTTTACAACACTCTGTGCCTGTTATCGGTACTGTCACGACATATGTCATGTGAGTTCACCAAGTAGTCGTCTGCTGCAGGTTGCATGAGGCGCCTTTCCTGCCCTTCCCTCCTATTTGGACTTTCTTGCCATTGTCCTCCCTCCAGGGGGCGCCCTGCTGCCTCTGATGCTCGTACCTGCCAAGAGAGTGCTGAGCACAGGGACACCGAGGGAGGGTGCAGCCTTCCACTGCTGCCCAGGAGGTCAAACCCTAGGATGTGAGGGGGGGCATTGTGTTCTGCGATGAAATGTCGGGACCTCTTTGTCATGTGGGGTCACCTGATCACCTGGACATCAAAGCTTTGGGGTACTTGTTTCCCTATGTCTCAGTCATGATTTTCCTCGTTCAGTATATGTTTATTGGGCACCTGTTATGTGCTAGGCACAGTGATACACATTGGTGTTAAGGGGGTGAGCAAATACAGGCAGAGCTCCTGCCGTTTAATAGGGGAGACAGAATTGCAGTGATGAAGGTCAAATTGCAGTGTTAAGTGCTAGAAAGGACAGGGACATGCTGATGTGACAGATTATAATACAGGGTTTGATCTCGTCAGGGAGTCTCGGGGGCTTTTCTGAGGAATCAAGTTCATTATCATGCTGAGGAATGAGGCAGGGTGAGGTAGCAGGTGCAAACTGAGCAGAGGGGCGTCAGGTGCCAAAGTCATCTGGAAATTTCCTCTGGTTCAGTCATAGGTCCATTGGTCGGGAGAGGGGCCCATAGCTGAGACAGATCCCCTGCCATATCTGTCATCCTCTTTCCCCCCATCCGCTTCTTTGTGGGAGCTTTTTCTTCCCTTTAAAGCAACCCAGACAAATGACTCACAAGCTGGGCTACTTCAGTGCAGCAAGAGAGGACAGGAAGTTGCTGCGGGCTAAAGATAAATTATGATCTAATCTTGGACAAGCCTAAATCCCAGAGTACCCAGATCTTTCGCTCAAGTAAGAACCCCAGTTCACTGCAAGGTCTATAGGAGGGAGTGGACATCAGCAAGTGCTCCCTGAAACCCAGTGGGATTGGTGGGGCTTGAGCTACATTTTAGAAAAACAGGTGAGGGAAGGAAGGCCAAGCACGTAGGTGGAAGGAACAGAATGGGCAAAGGGATAGAGGCAGGAATGTTCTTGTTAAATGAGATGAGGTAAAAAACAACAACAACTGGGCTTCCTGGAATAAAGAGCTTATTAAAGAGTCAGAGACCATAAAGTCAGGTCTGATAATGGAGAGCCTTACAAGTCAGAAGGGGATTTGGGGGCTTTGTTACTGAGGACTATTGGCAGATATGCAAGTTAGTGTACAAAGAAGGGACGTAATTAAGATACCTTATTAAGGTTAAAAAAAAGGAACAAAGCAGAATGGCCCAAAGAATAAAAGCTGTTTGCAGAGGGTCTAGCTTAGGTGAGTATTAAAATTATGTTGACATTTTTGAGTCTGAGATGATGGTAGCTCATTCAAATGTCAATTATCTACTATATAGTTGTAAATATGAGGTCGGCACACAGGAAACATCAAAACCTGATATTTTAGTCATATACACAGTTCTGTGTTACTTTTGCAGTGAAAATAAAAAGGTTTTGAGATAATTTTACTGCTTTCCAGAGGCTCTGTCAACATTGGAAAGGGCCTATGTTTATGCTAGTAGGTAAAAATGTACCGCAACAATTCTGATTTTTTCATTCATTCTGACTTGACTATTACATGTATTTATATGATTAGTAGACAAATATCTTTGTTGACTCTACTCTTGGCTCTGCCACATGCAGCTTGAGTGTTGGTAGGTGCATAGTAGGTATTTGTATATTGATGAGTATCATCAACAATTGATCCCAGAGCTTAATAATATTTTGTCTTCAATAAACACTTTCTGTGCTTGGGAGAGATATTTCGGTGAATGGGTCATAGAAATTCACATATATATGCATGTACATATAAATAAACTTGATTTCATTTTATTGTTTCCAAAGGTTAAAGCATACAAACAAGGAATAAAATTAAAATTATTTTCTTTTGGGATGATTTATGCCTTAATTTTCACCTGCCCATAATTAGAAATTTTGAACTCTGTAAATTATTTTAAGATAAAATTATTGCCCAAGTAAACTTCAGAAATTATATCATTAACCTCAAGACCTTTCTAAGCCTAGAACAACATTATTGGTGTAAGTGGCTGCACACACACAGACAAATAAAGAGGGAAGTTTAAAATAATTTGAAAATGATTTATCGTCCGCCACCTCTGTAGTTAGAAATTCAAGTATTATTGCTTTACTTCAGTGCAACAAGGGAGGACAGTAAGTTGCTGTGGGCTAAAGGTAAATTATGATCTATTGCAAGGGGGGAAGAAATGTACTGACGAAAGAGGGTGTTGGGAGTAAGCCATGTGTTTTCTGAAGTATTGCTCCAGATAATGGCTTGATAAAAATCTTTGTCTTGATCCTTGCTGGAAAAGGCCAGAGTTAACTGTGACGCAGACTATCTTCTTGAATCCTTGAGAGTTAAGGAGTAGCATGTTGGTGTGGGAGGGTCGGTTAGATGCACTGGAGTCTAATACAAACCAAGATACTCAGAGTGACAGGTTCTCCTTGGATGTTGCCTGCCAATCTTATCTTGGATCACACCCCGTTTTAGGTTTTAGGCATCATTTAATACACCAAGATATAGGACAACCAATCTAGGGTAATTTTGATTTTGTACTCTACTAACCCTATTTGTGAAGTGAGTCGAAGTCTGTGGATCAGAAATTCATTGTAAACTTGTATATCAGGGAGTCTAGTAGCTGTTATTTGGAATAAGAAAGAGGGTATAAATTTCATCCTTAAAACACAGCATAACACAGGGAAGGAAGAGAAAAGTACGGAATATATTGAAGGTCTACTATATGCCATGGTCTAACCTAGATGTTTTATGGATATTATTTCATTTAGTTTCGTAAAACCCCATGGGGAAAGGCCTTGCTATTCTGCTTTGTAACCGAGGAAACTGAAGCCCACAGTGGAGTACATTTCTCAGCAGAACATGGTTAGAGTTTGGCAAAACAGGGATTCAAATGTATGTTTAGTCTGACTCTATTTCCTGTGCTTTTTGTACCATGCCACCAATCCTGCACTATTTTTATTGCACCATGTGACTGATGAGAAAACTAATACCCAGAAAAGTGAAGGTATTGATGCTTGTGGACCCTGAAGCTTGCTTTCCTAGATTCTTTTATTTCAGGATTCTTTGGCTGAATACCATCACATTCATATGGTTCTAAAGGCAAACTTTTTTTGGATTGTTTTAGGTTCGCTACCGAAAGTAATGGTGACCCATCTTCGAGCAGCTGCCTATGCCCAAGACAGAGTGTTGGCTCTGGAAGATGCCGTGGACTGGCAACCTGGGGATGAAGTTGTTATCATCAGTGGAACAGGTGTCGAAGGTGCCAAACCTGTGGAAGAGATTGTCATTGTGGAAACTGTGCACAATACAGACCTCCATCTGCAGTTGCCCTTGAGGTACTGAGTGTCAGCTTGGCTCCATTTAGACAGAAGAAGATGAGGTCTTAACAATGTAATTTTACATTAAATAATGCTAGATGTTTTGCAAAGAAAATTGCAAAACATAAAGCATTTTAAAGATTTAGACTTCTTAAATAAGTTTCTTTTGTAAGATTCTAGATTTTCCACCGGGTAGTAGGTGGTCAGTGTAGTAGTTAGCATAATTCCTAATTTTCACATGTGTGGGCCTTTAGTTCATTCACCTGTATCTGAGTTTCTGAAGAAATAGAACCCTCCAACAGAGAATTATGCTAATCTAGTGGCTTACTATTCCTAATAAGATTTGGAGTGATATCTTCCAATGTGCCTTTTTAGTTTTCTTTTTTTTTGCAGATATTCTTACAACTTCACAGAGAATTGGGTGGCCAGAGAGCACCGTATTTTGAAGGTCACGGTGGCCCTGCTCAGCAGGAGTATTACCATTCGAGGAAATCTCACTAATGAGAGAATGAAGCTCCTCGCTTTATGCCAGGAGGCCAATTCTTCAAAAGGTAGAGAAGTATTTTGTTGGGGAATTCAGGGAGTGAAAATGAATGTCCTATGGTCAAATGATACGTGGTATTGTTGACTTCCTTCAAAAAAGAAGAGCGCCTTAACCTTTGCATATCCATAAAAGCCTATGGTTTTCAGAATTCTCTTATCAATTGTCATTTCATCTTCTCCCCTCAACAACCTTGTGAAAGAGACAGACAACAGTGTCCACTTGAGAAAATTATTTCTCTGGGGGAAAAAAAACTCCTGTTAAATAATTAAATATGGAGAGTTGAATCAAATTACCAGGTTAGAGGTTATAATGAAGTCTAAACTCTGATTCGGGCCCTTTCTAAATTTCTCAGGAAAATTGTTTAATGCCAAGTCATAGACACAAGCAACATATTCTTACTGATTAGACTATAGGGCTCTTCTCTCTCCACTCACCCCACTTCTGGAGTTTGTTTTCTGAGTGAACGACCACATACTTTAAGTAAGTGGTTGCTAAAGTCATTTTTCTTCGAGGAGAGTAGCAGGCACTGAATCACACTGATGTGCCTATTAAACATCTATTTCAGGGATGGTTAGTTTAGTAGGTTATATTTTGGTTTCCCAGGCTGTAGATTATGAGGCTTTCACTTGTTGTGAAGACATCATTTGTCAACTTTAGTCCAAGATGGTGTGGGTGTCAAGGATGACTCCCGGGCATGAGCTCTGGATGGATGATGAGGCTATTTATTGAGATGGGAAGAGGAACAGGTTTTGGGGTGGGAGGGTGCAGATCATGAATTTAATTTTGTACATGCCAAGGCAGATGCCTGTCTAGCGTCTGAGTGGAGATGTCTGGTGGTGTCGGATCCTGGAAGAAATGTCAAGGTTGGAGTTAAAGATTTGGGTCATGTCTACATAGAGACTCACGTGAGCATGAGTTGGGATGTGGTTAGGTGAGAGGGATCTTGACTCCACCCTCCACCAGCCCAGGCATCTGGCACACAAATGTGCCATTCTGAAAAATGTTTGGATACAGTGAGTTAGAATCCAGTGACTGCCAACTTTAACAGTTCCACTGAAATGGGATCTGCATTCTGTTCACCCTTGGTAACTCTCATACACATATATTCTGATCATACTGTGCAAATATTGCATTTGATTGTGTTTCTAGGTTTGGGCCATTATAAATCTGCTGGCTCCTAAGGAGAAAGGCCCTGATTTCATCCCCATCTTGAAATAGTGTTACAACATTCTCAACATAAAACAAAATTCAAAGGTTTTTCACTAAAAAATAAATGTCACTCACCCCTTCTTTATGTGGGGAAGTTTGGGAAAGCAGTACCAAATACAATAATGTGAGGTCTGGCCTCTAAAAAATATGGAGCATCGGCATAAACAATCAAAATCCTGAGAAAGCATACAAACATAAAACACTTCTTCATTCGCCTCTTATATATTCACTCTCTGGTGTAGCAAATGACTAGCCTCTGGAATTTACCATGGGTTATTTACTGTGGAATGATGCATCATTTTGCTTTAGTGGCTCTTCTTTGGTCATTAACATGGATTATAAAGAATTAATTCAGGGGATGATTTCTTCTCCATTCTGAGGTTAGTTCACACTACCCAATACCATCTGCCACCTGAAATGTCCTGGATCTTGAGGTCCTATCACTTTGCAGCAATGGTGGTTGTGTGTATTATGTTCATGCAATTTGCTGTCCTCACTAGGGGCATGGCTGAGAAGGAGGTGTTGGTGAGGGTGCTGTTCAGTTACTTCTTTGGAGCCCTTTGCCGTTCTGCAGTGGCATTATTGCTAAGTCCTCAAACTATAAAGCAGAAAAAAAAGGGGTGTGTGGCGAAACCCCATTGGACAGCTGAAGACTAAAGAGAACTGTGATTACATTCAGCATTCACATTTCTTCCCTATAATTATCAACCACAAGAAGGTCATTTTATTGCACACTCCCTCCAGGGGATATTTTGGATTGAAATAAACATCTATTTAGGTTGGGTTTGTGGGTTATAGTCAGCCTCTTTGTGACAGTAATTAAGGTGATTGATTTGGGGGCTTCTGGAAATAATAGAGTAAAGGCAACATCATGTCCTAGTTATTGGATGTTTTAATTAATAATCCAAAGAAGAGAATCAAAGTAAAAGGGGAGTAGGATTATTAAATAAAGTAAGCAGTAACAGTTTGTCTTTGTGTGAGCAGTGTCTTTCAAAGTGGGTGATTTGTCTAGAAGCATGTTGCACATGCTTCAGGTCCCCCTGACTCCATTCTGTGTTTCAGGTCATTTGCAGAACTGTTTGTATTCCAAGAGTGAGAAAGTGCTGGGATCCAGGGATTTGGGGGCCACAGTCATTGTTCAGTCCTTCCCAGAGGGGCCCAGCCAGGTCCAGTTGAAGGGAGTGCAGTTCCGGGACGTGGGACAAGCCTTCCGTAGGCATCTGAATGCGCTGACTCTGGTGGGAGCTATGAGAGGTGAGGGGGTCCAGGCCTATGACTTGTCATTTTTATTTTCATCTTCCATGTCCAAAGCTCTACATGCAGGGGGTCAGGATATGTGATGTATGGGGACATGTGGGATTCAGAACTGGATAATGTACTCGATCTATGGATCTCAGACTTTAGTATGCCTAAAAAATCACTTGGGGAGCTCATCAAAATTCAGGGTATGGACCCTGCCCTGACAGGTCTGGGCTAAGGTAGACCTGGCGACTTGAATTTTCAACATACAAACCTTATGATTCTGGGACAAGTGGTCGCAGGATTACACTTTGAGAAATGTCACTACATAGGTATAACAGACTTGGAGTGAACCGTATAAATCTGTGTTTTGAATCTTGCCTCTGCCATTTATGAGCTTTGTGACTACAGGCAAATTGATACTGAAAGGCCTAAATAATCAATGCTGAGACTCTAGGTTCAGCAGAAAGCATTTCTATGGGCCAGTTATCCTAACTCTGAGCAGTCTTCTGCCTGGAAAAATGGGGAGAATGGGCTGAGAACAGGGCATTTTCCTGGGAATGTGGAAGAGTGTGCTGGTGTTGGCCAGAGCTGAAGATACAGGGAGGGAACAGGAAACCTCGACTGCACATGGGAACAGCTAGGTGAGAAACAAAATCAGAACTAGGAAATAAGAACATGACCAGGGGTATTGACAAAGATTCTGAGCCGAAGGTGGAGAGACATAGGGGCACCCAGGTGAAATCCCAGTACCCAAAGCTGACCTGCAGAGGGTCAGAGAACCGGGTAAAATGAGGGGAGCACCTCTGTTTCTGAGTTACCCTCCCCTTCCCTCAGCACCTCCAGCACCCACATCCTTCCCTGAAAGGGGTGTGTTCTAGGGTCTGAGGCCCAACAAAGGCTGTCAGGGCTTACCTGATTGTCCAGGTGGGCCTTGGAAGATGCTAGGACTTCCACAGGTAATGACAAAGTGATCCTTGAAGTCATGTAGGGCAGGACCCTGGCTAGCCAACTGCTGCTTTATTTTATTCTCATTTCAAACGGTCTGCACGCCAGGGATGTCTATTTATCCTAATTTCCAGATCTCTTCTACAATACTTATTTTTGACTTTCATTTAGGGAGTTGCTTTCTAACATGGCTCCTTCCCTCATACATTGGGGCAGCCATACCTTTGTGCTCTCCTCTCTGGTTCTTGGCAGCTGAGTATTTGATGTGGGGGTCAGTCCAGTGTCAGTAGGGGTAGTGGTCACATATGAGTTGCCATTTGAACATTATCGGGATCCTCCTGTGTTCAAAAATCATGAAGTCTGTCTCCCACCAACTGTTTCAGAATAGCTGCACCTTTATCTATTTTTATATATTAGGTTTTATTTGGAAAAAAGGGCTCAGTGCTTTAAAAAAGTTTGAAAACCGAGTTAATACATTATCCCCTGTAGGCCTCTGTTAAAATGCGAATGTGTTTCCTGGGAGTGGGTAACACCTTAACCCAGAGGTTAGGAACTTCTGACTTGCTTGCCGAACAATTCTTTTATTGTTTTATGCCCTGAAGGCCCTTGTGCCCTGTCCAGTCAGTTGCCCCCAGCCACTAGAGTTAGAAGGTGGAATCTTTGCTACTTTTAAAGGTTTACCAATCCCTGAATTCTATCTGTAATAGCTCTACAACTCTTTAGATTTCTTGGTGTTCAGCCGGGCAGGCTGATGGGGATCTGGAGTCAGGAACATTGCGACAGCAGCTACAGAGAGGATAGGGATGGGGACACTTACTGAGGTGGATCCTTAGTGAGTGATGCGAGGGCACGTGGTAGTAGGGGTGCTGAGATAAAGGGAAATGTGGAGGCGCAGTATCTAAAACCACATTACAGCTGAGAATTTTTCTGGATGGTCCCAATTTAAAAGTCAAATTATTCCAGAAACAGAAGTAATTTTCTAGTACTTCAAACATTTGCTATCCCTACATCTCTCACTACCTGGAAATACAACATAACTCATTTTTAAGGATTTATCATTTAATTTTCCAAATAATGCATATTTATTTTTTAATGTAAGTTTCCTTCATCAGACTGCAGATGTGCAAGAATCTACTTAGCTTTGTTCATCTTTATATCTCCAGCACAATGCACAATTCCTGAAATACACAGATGATGCTTAGGAAATACTTATTCACTGACTGATTCAGTCCACATAACTTGATTTGAGAGTCATAAAATATGCCTATGCACCCAATGTAATGACTTTCCTACATGTCAGTTCCTTTTAGCATAGGAGAGGGTACTTCCCCTTTAGCTCCATAAACCAGTACATTCAAATGTGAGTCATGATCTTCAGGTTACCCTTTGGCTTTGTTTACAATTTGGAATAAGAATTTCCGGCTGTCTTGGGCCAAGAATATTATTGCCTAGCAAATTAAAAATATTTCACAGCTCAAGAAAGAATGTCTACATCTCCTCATAGAAAATGCACTTTTAAAGATAAGCGTTGGTCATCAGCAGGGCTCTCCCACATTGTCTTAGCTTTTCTCCAGCTGCTGTCTTCCATATTGATACGAGAGTTGATACCAAAGGTACTGGCCATCTTGATGGCCAACAAGATACCGGAAATCTTGTTCTTTTGTGGTTTGGCCATACTGTCTCTTTCTCAGATGGTTTTCCTCTTGTTGCATTTGATTCTTGGATTCCTCCTTGATTTTCTTTGGTATCTTTGAGGTGCATCAGCCTGAGTTTCCCCTTTTCTTGATTTGCTTTCTCTTTCCAATGCCTCATTTCCTATTTCATTATTGTGTGGGAGTGTGTTCTTAGTTATATTATGGCTTACCTTGGAGATGATCAGCAGAATCTGAGGAGCCATTGAGATTCATCAAATGTTCACATCGTTCTTTCCTGTTCAGATTCCTATGTACAGGGCTGTACAGTATGGAACTCCTTCAGTAGAGGCCTTGGCCTGTCCAGAACTGTGGGCCTGAAGGTGGACAGTAATGTGTTCTACAATATTTTAGGCCATGCACTGCTGGTGGGTAAGTGATGAGCTTGTTTAATTTTGGTACTCTTTAGTAGGGTACATAGTTCTTCAAAAAGAATTGCCTCAAGATTTGAATTCCCAATGTATAAAAACTTTAGCCTCTGATCATTAGAAACCAGACATAGTTAAAAATTCTAAATTTAACTGTAGCCATCACTGGTTAGCCTACTGGCTAGTTACTAAGCTGGCTAGTTACTGGCTAGTTACAACAGAAAACTGATCTTTTAAAGGTGACATTTAATTCACAGAATTGTTGGTAACTACACAATGGGAGGTTATAAAGTTCACTGTCAGCAATTTTCATAGTAACTCAGAGTCACATAGGTTTGTCTTTATACAGTCTCACAGAGCGTCAAACCTGGATGTTGGCCAAGGAGCTGAGCATCCTTAATTTTGTTTTGTTTTTTGTTTTGTTTTGTTTTCTAAAGCTGCAGACACCAGAGCTCCTTCCCTTAATGATATAAGGGTACACCAAATTCGTTCTTAGCTGCTCTTGAAGCTTACTGAGAAGCCCAATCTTCAAGTTGAAAGATTCTTTCTCCTAAAGTTCATTCCCCTTGCAGAATGCAGAATTAGTCTTAAAAATCTCAGATTGCATCGTATCACTCTTCTCCTTAACACCCTTTAAGAGTTTCTTATTGCTCTTGGACAACAAATTCAAAATCCTTAACCTGGCTTAAAAGACTCCCTCAATGATTTTTTGCCTCCATTAACCTTTGTAAATGTCTCTTGTTCTTTTTCTCTCCCTCCATACTGATCTATTTTATTTTAATTCTTTCAGAAGTCTCTACTTTTTCTTGCCTCAGGGCCTTTGCACAAGATCTTCCCCTCTGTTTATTCCACTCACTCTCCTGTAAGATTCTCTCCTGCACAATCCCAAGGCAAGTCCCTCTGTTTAAGTTCTATGAGCCCCATATTATTTAATTGATTTGAAATTATATCATGTTTCTGATCATCTGATTAATGTTTGCTTTTACCACTAGATTTTATGTGAACATTGTTTTCTTAGCACAGTAACTAGTGCATTGTAGGCATATTTGTTGAAAGAAATGAGTGAGTTAATGAACAAACAGACTTTGATTATATCAGAATAAAAAAGCAAACCAGAGGTTTTCACTGAAAATAAGACTATAATGCTATTTGTTAAATAGTGTTTTGTATTTAAAGTAATTCTGTGATATCATCAGTGGGAAAATGTGTTTCATTTAAGAACAATCTGTTAAAATAGGATCAATAAAGGTTCTAATGCTGAGAGGGAAACTATTAGTGAGAAAATATGTACCATATACTTGTTTTAAAACAAACTCCAGCCCTAAAAGGCAAAGAGGCAAACAATGGAAGTAAACTGGTGCAGGATGGCTACAGGGCAGTCAAACAACAAATGGAAGGTTGGATTTGTTTATTTTTACTTTTGTCTGCATAAGGGAAAAGTTACCTGAAACCTGGAGCTAAAATCCAGGCAGGTACTCTAACCACATTATTTTAGGAGACAACAATGATATGGAATAGACATTAACTAGGCAAGGAATGAAACCTGCAAGAGGATTTTAGCCTTTAGTGCTTGGATATTGTGAACTGGAGGCTCTTGACATCTACTGCATTGCAGGTGAGGGAATTAGAATATTTGTTGATTAGTGCATTCTAGATAAGGTACACAGTTCATGCACTGTGAGTTTGCAAACCCAGACTCATGAAATTGCCTGAAGCCAAGATACCCAAAAACCTGGGAAGGAGGGGATCTGTGAGGCCGAGGACCTGTGGGGCTGCCTTCTATCGATGCCACGTAAGCGGTTCATCTCTTTCTGTGCCATGGCCTACACTCTTTTATTCTCTGCTGTTCCAAACCCCAGTGGTTTGGGTCTGAAGGTCCTATGTACTGTCCAGCCTGTTCCTCAGATCTCCCAGAGGAAGAGAGGGGTATGCAGATAGCTGGTGGCCAGTTTGAACAACTAGGAATGAGGCTGGAGCCGACACAAGTCACATGTAGCATTTGACTATGGAGACAGTCGCTTAGACTTTCTAAGAAGTAAAACAGTAGATCTATTTCTTTGTTCTCTTTAAGTTGTTATTATTTAAATTGAACTTGTGTCCATGGTACCGTAGACCTTAAAGTCCATACAATCTGTCTCTTTGTCTGGTTCACAGAGAAAAACACAAAAACAAAATTAAAATGAGCCATACCAAAAAGAAAAAAGAGTGTTGCAATGTCCCTTGTTCTCCTGTATATGAAATACACTGAAATAATATGATCTTTTGTTCTCAGGTATATATGTGGTGATAAGATATATCTCTTGAGAGTCTATCCCTGGGGGAAAGAATGATAAATCTGTAAACTGGTTTTAAATCTATTATGGTCTACCTAAGTTGTCATTCATTTTATAGACAGGCCTGATGGCAAAAGGTTAGCTATCTTAAATTTGTTGAACTTACTAAATGTTGTATATATATATATATGCATGATGTAAACTATAATGCATATTAGAAGAATCAAGAGTGTTGAGTTGTGTAACTTCTAATGTTTGTGCCCTGGGTTTGATTTCTCTTTTCTTCAATTAGACTGGTCAGTACAGGGAAATATAATCAGAAATAATGTAATCATCAGTCTTTCTGGTGCCGAAGGCCTCTCCAGTCCTGAGATGTTGACACCATCTGGTCTCTATATCCGCAACCCCACCAATGTTATAGAGGTAAGATCTGAAGCTCCACAAGGAGGGTCTAGTCTCTCTAACAGTCATTTGGAGACACAGCATCAGTGATGTGGTACAAACTGTTTATTTGTGGCACATTGCTCTCTAGAAACTACTTCGGGATTTTGTGTTAAACAAGTGTTTTAGGATAAATATAATCATTTCTCTCAGCATTCCCAGGAGCACTCTTTGAAGCAATATCTATGAGAGCAAACCACAGGCGATATTGATTGTTTTATGGTCATTTAGATGAATGCAAACTGAAATATTTTCCTGAGCTAACTACTAAGGTTGCCAATTTTTGTCTTGATTGCAATAATAATTACTTATAAAATTTTCACTGTCTTACTATATTGATGTGGTCATTTTGTTGCCCTTTAAGAATGGTCAAAACTGAGGGTCAGCGAAGTCATAACATCATAATTCCAGGATGAATGAACTCCACCTTGATTTTTATCTCATTATTTGGTTCAATTTAGCATTACTTTTTCTTGGTAAATTTTTCCCTAAACACTTAAAAGAAATTACTTTTTCTGGGTATAGTTTAACCATAGATGCGTGAATGAAGGTTTACATCAAAGTAGTGGGAAGACCATGTATTTGCCCCCTTTCCAGTGGTTTTATACCATGGATCACCTACAAAAGAGTTAAGGACCTCACCCTTCCAGGACACTCCTCTGAGCATCTACTGTGTCATGATGATTATGCCAAGATTCTGGGGAACTGAGAGAATGAAATTCTCTGTCTTCTCTGATCATCTGCTTTTGATTACCTTCCCCTGAATAACCCCTAATAAAAGTCATGGCTGTCTTCTCAACACTCTTCCAGACTCCTAACTACACTGATTCTGAGCACAGACAGCACTGACACACCAATTTAGGTGCCTAATGGGGGCAGCTAATGTGACAGTGAGGAAAGGAGGCAGGACTGTAGGAATTGAAGGAAACCCATCTGTGGACCCAGAACAAGAGCAGCATTTAACTTGCTGGCAACTACAAGGCTTTTTGTGCAACTCTGCCAGCAGGGCTTGGGGCCTTAAGAACTCTTTCATTGTGTACTTTCTTGGTTGGCATATTCTTGACTACATTGTAAAATCCAAGGCAAGTAGACCCTCAAGGTTGCCCAGCTCATCTTCCTGCATGAAGCTGGACTGTATCTCAATCCCACCTTGAATGGCAGGGGTGCTGTCTTCTGACTTCCCTTCACTGGGTACTGCATCGTCTCCTGGGCAGGTGCCCTGGCCACTTGCTGGCCAGAAGAAGAATTGAGTTGGCTAGAGATGCAGAGACCCAAATGGACACCTTAAAGGCTGATAGGTCACCTGAGCCTCTGCAGACTGACCTGCAGAACAGTACCCCATCAGCATTGGAACAACAGTCCAAAGCAAGCTGCTTGTTCCCTGCTAGAAGTCTTGCTTTTCCATTCATTTACTTTCTTCCTCTTATGCCCATTTAGTACAATTTAACATTACTTTTTCTTGGTAAATTTCTCCCTAAACACTTTAAGAAATAACTTTTTCTAGGTATAGTTTAACCACAGATGCGTGAATGAAGGTTTACGTCAGAGTAGTGGGAAGACCGTTTAGTTGGTCTTCCAAAATATAATGCATGTATTTTGAGAATGAGGTTTTAGTTTAAGCTGATAATGTAGCTTCATGAAGGTTATTTACTAAGTGCATTCCTGACATTTTCATCTGCGATGAGCTTCAAATTCTGCTGTTCTCTTTTCATTAGTTTATTAACTTTTAGACCCTAGCGTAGTATCTGAAACATAGCAGTGGCTCAATAAATGTTAATGCAACATAATGAATGAATGAATATAGGTACAATTCCATAATCAAAAAATAGAGGGAAGAAAGAGACAAGTAAGGAAGATAATTCAAGATCTTACAGTCATTTTGATGGTTGAAAAATAAGATGTTGAATATGTGGCAGCATTTCAATCCCATGGGACTCTTCTCTCCGTGTAAAATCTTGCACAATCCACTCCAAGTTCCCAGCTGGGCCACTGGCGTTCTGCTGTGCTTTCTCTTTTGCAGTCTATTGTCTGGAATATGCTGCTACTCAGGTGAGAACTGGGCATATGTCATAAAACCTAAAAATTATGAACTTCTCTTGACCTTTAGGACCAGTGAAGGTCATTTCAGTCACTGAGCAACCAGTGAGTGAGTGTTCATTAAGTGTGTCCTCTGTGTATGACACACAGAGTATTTTGAAAAATGTATTTCAGAAGCGCAACTTTATTCCAAAGGGATAATAAGGAGGCTACAATAATATGGGGTATGTGTTTATGTGTGCGTATGCAGTATGTAGAACAGAAGTAGATCTGTTAGAAAAACATTCCCTCTTCCAGGGCTTTCCTGTATTCGGGGGAGAGAGAGTCCTGTACCCTGAGGAACTGTTGCTTGGATGGTGGCTTCTCTGTGCTCCTAGGTTGACTAGTTCAGAGTCAGACTGCCCCTTACAGGAATGTGGTCAAGCCTCCATGGACTCAGTTTTGGGGACCCTTTCTCCTGCCTTGCTTTTCAGTTTTCTTGCAGTCTGGCAAAATATTTTTTAAGTCACTGTATTAGTGTAATTAATTAGGATTTTTCAGGTTTTGTTTTCTTAAACTTTTAATTTCAGAACAATTTTAGACTCAGAAGTTGCAAAATATATGAGAATTTCCTGTGAGCCCTTCCCCCAGCTGCCCTCAGTGATGACATAGCCATACCCATCGCCACAGAGTCACGTCAAACACAGGACACTGACATTAGGATAAACTACTCACCAACTAAAGCCATTGTTTAGACTTGAAGAAAGTGATCTAATCTAAGTGGCTGGGCAACCACCCTCAAAAGTTTAAATCCTCTCACGTACTCAAGTCTGACTTTGAAGCTCTTGCCCATCAGAGAAGGAAGAAATGGAGTTTATCCTTCAGTCTCTGTAATGATTGTGGTTCCATATAATTCCCGAATTGCCCTAACCCAGAACCCAGGACCAAATGCTTTGCCACAGCACATGGAGCTCACCTTGGCCTCCAGGCAGCCATCTTTCTAGTTCACTCACCTTCAGTCTTATCTGGTACAAGGTGATTTGAAGGGTGATAGTCCCTTGTAGTTTTCATACCCCCAGGGGGTCTGCCTGCCTCCCTTCTCAGGCTGCTGCTGAGCCAGGCCCAGTGCAGTTTCTCCGAGAAGCAAAACCTGAGCTTTGTGCCTTCTTGCTAGTGAGGACACAAGCATGGTATTCCTTCTGAGTGTCCAGCGAATTCGTGGCATTCATCTGTATCCTCCTCAGATAGTCCTTTGCCATGCTTTCCAAAAACAGATCTGTGGTGGTTCTTCCATGCGTCAGCTGTAGCTTTTAGAGCACCCCATTTCCAGGCTGTCTTCTCTTGGTACCCCGGCATCTGAGGCTCTGTCCCCTTTCACGAGAATTTCTTGTTATCTATCCAGAGGCTCTATCTTTCCAGTAGACATAACCTATGTCAAACTAAAGCTGGAAGGTCTTCGTTCTCAAAAATCAAGGGATTGTTCGCTTTCAGAGATCCAAAGTAGCCCATGTGTACGTAGGCACTGGAAATTTCCTATGACCAGACTCCTGTTTAGGAGAGCCCACAGAAAAACCCTGCAGACAAGCCCTTCGGAAACATCCATTTAATTTGAGGGGAATTTGTTCTGGTTTGTAAATCAATTTTGCAAGGAATTCTGTGTTTAAAGGCCAATTTCAGCTCCCTAGCTCTCCCCACTCAATAGCTAATGTATATTTAAGAGCTGCCTGAAGGGTTAACTCACTTTTTTCTAGTGATTATAGATGCACACCTCAAGGAGCTGGCTTACTTGGGCAGTTAATTTCTCTCTGGAATTTTTCTTGCTTGAATGTCCATAATGCATTGACTTCCGCAAAGAATTGATTTCCACACAAAATTCCCTGCTTGCCTTAAACCCTTCCCCACAAGCCACCGGCTGCCTGCATAAATATGTGGTTTTTCCTCATGAATCATTTGCAGCATACCCAATTGGAATGGGGAGTCAAAAGGGCTGGGAAGTAATGTGCTCTGAGTGTTCATGTGCTTCTTTTATAGGAAAAGTGAGTCTTACCAGTGAACAGAAGACCAAAGTTACAATATCCTGCCCAACTCTAAATAAAGCATTTATGTATGTTCACCTAGATGTTCCATAAACACTAATGACACCAGGGAAGATGATTCAACAAATCTATTCATTCACGCAAAGCACATGCTCTCTGAGCACCTGTCTGGTGATGAATAAGTGTGTAGCCCTTGGAATATATTCTTAAAATATTTGAATATTTCTCTCCTGGAGTCTTGGTAATGAACTAGCATTTCATTGGTAATGAAATAGAAGTGTACATCCGAGTGAGACGATCACTTCTAGGTCTGGTGCACCTTCCTCATTGTTTGCATACTTTCAGAAAATGTGAGTATTCAAGAAGCCCACATGCCTTAACGCTCAGGTCATATATACTCATGACCTTTCCCATGGCTCGTAGTTGTGGTAGAGACACTCAACTCAGGCTATGTGGAAGGTAGATGTACTTCCCTGAGGAAGGTTCCGGTTGTGTAATTGTAACTGCCATGTTACTTTCTTGTGTGTCTATGAGGGCTGAAGAGATACACTGGGCACTTGTGACAACCCACTGACAGTGACACTTCCTGAAGCCAAGAATCATGAGTGATGTCCTATTCCCTAGGACAAGGGGAGAACTGAGATAATCAGCTCAATGTTAATGCATGTTCTTTTGGGGGTATGCCTAATGCCAGATTTGGTTATTTAAAAAGATATGAATGCCCTCCTGGTAAGAACTGTCAAAGTATTTTTGTTGCAATGAACCATGTGTCTATATTTAGATTGGTCTTCCCATCAAAATTTGGAGATGGGATACCAGAAAATGTCTGTGGATTATGCCAATATTTTGCTTCAATCTAGACTATAGACCAGGGTTTCTCAACCATGGCCATATTAACATTTGGGCCATATAATTCTTTGCTATGAGAGGCTATCCTTTGCCTACCAACATTCCTGGTCTCTACCCACTTAATGCCACTGACACCCTCTTCCCCCCAAGTTGCGACAACCAAAAATGTATCCAAATGCTCCCTGGGACACAAAATCATCCCTGACAGACACACACAGCTCTACTGTGCCACCCCAAGATAACTGGAGTCTTAGACATGGCTCCGGTTCCCTGATGTCATGTTAACATCTTGAACAGTAATTCAACTTCATATTCAATGATATCCAAGACTCACTTTTACTTAGTACCATGTGGTAGGTAAGACATGTGATTAGAATTTTAAATGGCCTCAGGAAATTGGAGAAATGCTGAGAATCCACAATAATGAAGTAGTAGAATATGAGCCAGTGGTCTACAAAGAAAGAAAATATCCTGCAATGAGTGAAAAATAAGGAGTGGCAGCACAGTAACAAATAACCAGGAAGACAGAGCCACTGGGACCCAAAGTGAGTAACAAGTTCTGGAAAGAGCACTGGTGACTGTGTCAATATGTGCAGGCCCCCTGACCATGCTTCCCATTTCAAGGTAAACATAGGGTCTTGACAAGAGGCTGAAGACCTCCAAGGACTGGGGCACTGGGGTGTTACTGGTTTTAAAATAGCACCTATTTCCATTTTTCTTCTTTATTGACTTTGCTTGCTTCTGTGTGTTTTGTGTGTGTGTGCACATAGGTATTCCTAGTGGAACATGTGGTACCCCAGGGAGGAGCAGGATCTTTAAAGTCCCCTTCTACAGTGAGTGCTGTGATAGTCTGACTGCCTCTGGGTCACCCAGGTTAAAAGAGGTGAACTTCAGGTTATACTTCCTCCAGTTCTTCATTTGGGCGTTGAAGTCAATATATTAGTCTAGAATGACTGAAGCTATGGAATAATATGAGTTTTCTCAACTTAAGGATAAATAGAGAACAGCAACAACTAAGAGGGTATGATCAGGGTCTTCACTCTCAACCCTTCCTTACTCAGAGTGCAGTAAAGCTCCTTGTAAAAGGCTGTGAGAAAGAGCCCTGTCCTTGAGCATGTCAGAGTTTCCTCATCAATCCCTACCCTTTCCTGTGTCCTGTCCTGGAATCCATATCCCCAACTGTCTGCATTAATATTAAATAATAATTTCAGATAATCTCAGTCTTTTCTTCTGTTGTTCCAAATTCCGGTCAATAGCCAATCTCCTTTAACTTTATGTCAAAGGGTAGATAACACTCAATCCCTAGAATGCTGGGTTCTTATTTTCCTTAAACTCCTCCATTCAAAATGCCATGTGTTTCCCTGCCTACTAGGGGAAATTGGCCCACAGCATTACCCGGATGTCTGTCTGCACTCTGAACTGAACATGCTATTTTTTCCACGTGATGGAGATGAAAGAGATTTTATATTGTCTGGAATTCTAGTGTGGAGAGAGCAGCTCCTTAGTTAAATCTGACCTCAAAAATGCTCTTCAATTTTGAGGAAACCTCTATTTATGTGGCCACATCAAATACTACCTCAGTCTTGTCCACTAGGCTACCTGACACCTGAAGGGCTAACTTGGTGACTGTTGATGCACACCTCAAGGACTTAGCTTACTTGGACAGTTAATTTCTCTCTGGGGTTTATCTTCCTTGAATGTCCATGACATACTGACATTTGGAAGGAATGTTGCTCAATATGTTTTATTCACTAGTGGGGAGACCTGTTCTGCTCTTGACCTGGTGACATGACTTTGCCTCACACCCTGAGTACTATTTATATTTCTTCACAGGTACCCTATTGCTTGATATCCTGGTTTGGGGTCTTTCCTTCATTTTTATATCTTAGACTACAATCTCTGACACTTCCAGACTTGGACACAAATAGAGTTGGCTCTAACAATTATCAGCTCTGGGATTTTGAGAAAGTTACTCAACATCTCCATCCTTCAATTTCTTTGTCTGTGAAATTGTAACCGTAACACCTAAGCCCATATTGTTGTGAAAATAAATGACACTCTAAAATCTGATACCTGGACTATGGCAGCTTCTCTATAAATCTTTACAATGAGTATGATTGTGACACTTGGTCATAATTTAAAAAAGATATCTTTTTCTAAGGAAAAAAAAACTTTTAACATAAATATAACTTTATTGAGTTGGGCATTCTTTTTGCTGAGGATCTGGTAATAGATTCCCGCCCTGATTTTCGAGGTCTCTATCCTCCTTCAGTTTTCTACAGTTGCTTCCATGTGCACTGGGCTCCCAAAGCAGCTCATGGCAAAATTGCCAGAAAATGAATTCTTCCCAGGGTCTCTCTCCTCTTCGAAGTTATCCTAAGACCCTTGATGACCAGACAGTAGAGTGTTAATATCTCAGTCAGTACAGATTCCTGTTCCCTCTCCACTTGACCAACACCTACTAACTCAGAATATCTAGTGGTGGGGCCTAGAAATCGGGACTTGATATATTCCAAGATCCAAGATAGGGTTTCCTGACAGAATACAATGTACTTGGCTAAGTTTAAATTTCAGAAATATACAGCTAATAAGATTTTAGTATACATATATCCAATATGATATTTGGAGTACACTTCTACTAAAAAAAAGATTAGTTTTTTTTTGTAAATCTGAAATTTAAATTTTACTGGGCTCCTGTGTTTTTATTTGCTAAATTTTGCAAGTCTTCCCCAGGTGTACACTAAAGTTTAAGAAACTTGCTCTAGTAAAACACTCACAGCATAATCCCACTGAGTCCTGGACAGAGGCACCTCTGACACTGTGGCAGCACTTTATAGAAAGATATTTAATGCCTTGTGGGGTTGCATGGGGTCATGCTCCTTCCTGCACCCTATTTTCTTTCTGAGCCCTGGTGCCAATATTCAGGATGAGCCATCCGCATCCCATGTTTGTGCTCCTGAGAGACTGCGTTGCTCAAAGAGAGGACAAGGAAACATTTTTTTCTCACACTAACCAGGCTGTGTCAAACTCCCAGGTGGCTAAGGGTGAACCACGTGGAAGCCTTGGAGCCTCCTTTATCCCTGAAGCAAAAGTCTAAGGCCTGAGGCTGGCTGAGTAGCCTGTTATTTGACTTCTATTCTCTAGGTAGACGTGGGTATCTTGATCTTAGACCAGCCTTTCAGGTTGAGAGAGGACAGATGCCCACAAACACATAGGAAGTCAGCCAGTAGCTTGATCTACTGGCCCTTTATTCCTCCCACTGAACCATAGAACAGCCAATGTATCATTTACTTTACTGACTGGAGTTAAGAAGGGCAAATTCAAATGCCTACAGAGACTAGGCCAGTGTCATAAATATGTGAAGCAGGAAGGGTGGGCACTTTGGCAAAATAATCCATAATCCAAGAAGCAGGCTCTTAGCTCCAGCTGATCCATGGCTACCCATGGGTCCTAAAGGAAGCTGGGCTTAGTAATAAAAAAAGAAGGAAACTGAAAGTCTGATTTTTTTATATCAAGTCTCCTGATTTTAAAATATTGGAAACAAAAAACTGTTTGTGAACATTGGGTAAGGTCAAGCAAAATACCTCTGTGTACAACATTAGACTCTTTAGGGAGTTAGTTTTCAACTCTGTATTAAAGTATATTGCACAGTGATGAATGTAATATAGGTGTGTCATTGAGATTATAAGGATAATATTGTATTCAGTTTGATCAGGATTAAGGCCCCAAACTCATATGTCCTAATGGAGAATTTAGGTTTCATATGAACTTTTAAAGCACATGAAATTATTCAGATAATCGTAAAAACGATCTAAACAAGACAAGAGTATACTGAGAAGATTCACGTTGTGTTTGGAACCACCTGCTATGTCTCAGAACTAAACCATGGCTAGTGCAATCACTGGGCCTCAGCCCAGAACCGTTCAAGGACTGGAAAGAACATTCCGTATAGCCTTGGCTTTAAGGTGCACCTTGCATACACCAAAGGGGGAAGCCTGGATTAGATGATGCAGGCAGGCTTCTCACTATGCCGGTTTACAAGGCTGCTTTAACATGAAGTGCCAGTTACTGAGGTGGGCAACCTACAGTCAATCTAGTTGAGCTGTCTGGAGGAAGAGGAAAGAAGTATTTTTGGTCCCTAAGGCAGCCCTGGGGAAGTGGTAGGTGGAAGAGTAAATGAGTCCCTAAAAGTATTGATACACCATGGCAGGAAGCGAATGAAAAAGAAAAATGAGTATGTATTAAGTCTTTCTTTCCAGTTACCTTACTGTATATGGAGTAGCTATTCTTTAAGTACCGTCACTTTCTGCAGGCAAACAGGGTGTGTGCTGCCGGTTTGGGGTACTTCTTTCATCTTGTGACCAGCCAAACATCAGTAGCTCCACTTCTCTCCTTCACTCGGAATATGGCTCACTCTTGCTCCAGGTAACTTTGGGGGAATTCACCTATGTTTTTGGGTGTGATTTATGGCTTAACATTTTTAGTACAACACTCACAGAGAGGGTGTAACTTTTGGCCTCCGTGTGAGACTTTATGATGCCCCTGTGTAAGCATTTCGGATCATGTAAGTTTGGGTGGTGAAGGGAAGGGAGGGGGAGAGGGAAGCCACTTGAGAAAGGACAGGGACCCCCTTTGTGGCCAGGGGAGAATACAGTGGAGAGAGCAGGTAAACTTCCAAGAGATTAGGGGCAGCTGGGGGGCTTGAGTGCCTGGCTCAGGAGCTGGGTGGGGAGATGAACCTTGGGGAAAAGGCTTTTTGCCTGTGGGATGAGAAGGGACTTGCTTGAAGTCTGTTATGTGGAGGGTAAGGTCACCTGCTAAGAACAAGGGCTGGGAAGCATGGTGAGGACGTGGGAAGAAGGCAGACTTCAGCGTCAGTCAAGCCCTGATGGAATGCTGACTTTATGCCTCATAAACTCCTTCTTTTTTGTTTTTTATGAGTCAGAACCCTTGGTTGTGAAATGGGGACAGATCTGCATTGAAAGTTTGATGTGAAAGTTAGAGATGACTTATGTAAAGCACCTCAGCAGGAACTCAGTAACTGATGGCTCTAAATAATCCTGATAATATTAGTATAGTCATACTGCTTTGGTGGGAAATGATAAGGAGGGTGGAGTAAGGATTAAGAACGAGCCCTATAACCTGTTGAAGTGCCAGCTGAGGCTTGGATTACCACCTGTGTCAGGAAATTATGAAGTTTTTATCCAGCCATTCTCAGCAACCTGTAATGAGAAGAAGGGGTCCAGAATATTAGACTGGTGGGGCATTTCGGGGAGAAGAGCAAAAGTGAAGGAATTACAGGTGCTGGTATCCACTTTCCTAGCAAGGGGGGTTCAGATCTAGAAGGGTGCTGCTAGCCTAGAAAGGGGTATTCTGCCTCTTGGTAAGGTCCAGGAGCAGGTCACAGAGGGAGGTAGAGGAAGGGCTGAGGGATGGGCAATACCAGTCAGAGAGAAGGGGCAGGGTCCTCACCCCTTATTCATTACCTTTATATTTTCCAGTGAGAAAAAGTGGGACATTGAAAAAAATGTTTGTGAACATTGGGTAAGGTCAAGCAAAATACCTGTGTACAATATTAGACTCTTGAGGGAGTTAGTTTTCTACTCTGTATTAAAGTATATTGCATAGTGATGAATGTAAAATAGAAAGTGGCTGAGTGTTACTGTTTTGCGTTCTAGGTGTGGTCTCTTTGTATACCCTAAATTCCAGCCGCCTTGGGATAGTAACACTGGCCCTACCCTGTTCCAAGACTTCATGGTTTGGGGAGGTGCAGGTGGTGCCCAGGTAAGTTTCTTTAGTTTTGTTAATTAAAACCATCACTTGTTTTCTCATGGTGATTTATTATACATATCTATTTAAAGAGGGATGATTTAACACTGAGGGGAGCATTGCAATATTGTCACAGTTTTAAGGAGTTAAAAGCATCACAGGTGTATGTGAAATAGTGGTTGAATGAACAGTAAGCCAGGGGTAGTTCATTATCTATGTGGTTACTTCTCAGGAGCTCTAATACAGAACAACAGAATCACAGGGATTTACAACCAGGAAGGTTCAGAGAGGTTAGCCTTCTGTCCCATGCCTATTTAGAGAGAAAACATTAAGGCTCAGAGAGGAAAGGGATTTGCCAAAGGTCACAGCTAGTTAGTAGCAGAGCCAGGTACCGAATCCAGACTCCAAATGTCATGCAAAGGATGCCCTACTATCTTAAATAATACATGTTTCAGTCTTAAGAAAAAGTGTTGTTCATCATTGGAACACAAAAATTCCCATCTAAGGTGCCCTTCTTAGTTTTCACCAATGAGCCAAGTTTTCTTCTATTTGCCCCCAAAGGGAAACAAGTTCATGTTGAATAATTTACTTTTCATTATCACAATGATTCCTTATAAGGAAGCTTTGCATGCTCACTGTTAATGGCAACACATAAAAGTATCCGAGGTCACTATTTGGTGCTACACAGAGAGGTTACATACACTTGGTCTCTGTCACTTTGAAAGATGCACAGATAAAGAAATATATTTACAGGGCATTAAGAGAAATGAATAAAAATACGTAATTAAGTCATATTAAGAAATTAGACATTTATTTCATATATCCAACAAGAGGAAGACAACTGTGGATAGCGAAAGCCCCAAACTTTACAATTAGGTTTGGTAGCTAAGAGCTAGAGTCCCAGTTGTATTTAGTATTTCATTCTTATTTAATTTTATGAACTACTTTGTTTCCCACAAATGCAATGAGTATAGAGGAGACAAATCCAGTAGGGCACATGTTGAGTACCTCCTTCTGCAGAGAGCAATTTATACCTTGAAGTGGCTTAAATTCTCTCTCCATGCTCTTGAGTAGCTTTGTTCCAGAGGAAATACCTTGTAAAATGAAAATATTAAAAGATGATTATTAGTCTTCTCAAGTTCTGCGATCAGAAGTGCTAATCCCATGAAAGAAAACAAAATAGAGCCTTAAACATGGAACTCCTGTGCAAATTTAACCTATCAAAAAGTTCAGAGAATGGAAATGCTTTTGGAATTTCACTTTTATAAGGAAAGTAAAAAGAGAGCAGTTAACATGATAGCAGGGCACATAAAAAGTATCTTTCCCCAAAACAATCCTGAAAAAGAAGAATAAAGTAAGGAGACACATACTTCCATATTTCAAAATGTACTAGGACAATAGTAATCAAGACAGTATGGTATGTGCACAAGGATAGAAATATAGATCAGTGGCATAGAACTTAGAGTCCAGAAATAAGCCCATACATCTATGGTCAACTGATTTTTGACAAGGATGCCAAGACTGTTCAATGCGAGAAATAAAAGTCTTCTCAATAAATGGTGCTGGAATACTGGATAGCCACATGCAGAAGAATGAGGTTGGAGCCTTACCTCATTCTATTTATAAAGATTAACTGAAAATAGATAAAAAACTCTTAGAAGGAAACAAAGGGGTGAATCTTCATGATGTTGAATTCAGCAAAGGACTCTTAGATATGACATCAAAAGGAACAAACAAAAAATAGATAAATTGGGCTTACTCAAAATTAAAAATTTTAATGTCTCAAAGGATCCCATCAAGAAAGTAAAAAAACCATCCAATGGAATAGGAGACACTATTTGTAAGTCATATATCTGATAAGGGACTTGTATCTAGAATATAAAAAGAGCTCTTACAACTCAACAATAAAAAGACAAATAACCCAATTTAAAAAATAAGCAAAGGATCTGAAGAGACATTTCTCCAAAGAGGACACACAAATGGCCAACAAGCATATGAAAATATATTCAGCATAATTAGTTCAAAGAGAAGTGCAAATCAAAATCATAGTGAGATATCACTTCACACCCACTATGATGGCTGGAATCAAAATGGCAACAAGTGTTGGTGGAGAAACTGGAGCCCTCATACACTACTAGTGGGAATTTAAAATGGTCTAGCTGTTTCATAAAATGGTCTAATCCTCAAATGATTAGATGTAAAGATAGCATGTCATTCATCAATTCTACTCTGAGGTGTATATCCAAGAGAAATGAAAATATATGTTCATGTAGAAAGTTATATACAGATGTTTATAGCAGCATTTTTATAATAGCCAAAGGTGTAAACAACCCAAATATCCAGATGAATGGATAAATATAGTGTGGTATATTAATACAGTGGAGTATTACTCAGCCATGAGAAGGATGCTACAACATGTATGAACTTACACTAAGTAAAAGAAGCCAGTCATAGAAACCCATATACTATATGATTCCACTCGTCTGAAAGTCCAGAACTGGGAAATCTGTTGAGACAAAGATTAATGGCTGCTTAAGGCTAAAGGATATAAGATTTCTTTTTGGAGTGAAAATGTTCTAAAATTGACTATGGTGATGATTGCACATATCATGAATGTACGAAAACCTTTCCATTGTACACTTCAAAAAGGTGAATTGGGTGTATTTGAATTATATCTTAATAAAAATGTTTAAAAAAAACATAAAACTAACCTCCTATTTATATAACCATGTGAACTCTCAAATGTTATCAATTCCAATCTGTGTGACCTTGGGCAAACCCCCTAATTCTTCCTATCTCATTTGTAAAATAGAAATAGTAAGAGTAGCTTAAGGATAAGTTTGTTTTGAGAATTAAGTAAGTGCCCTCTAGTAAAGTGCACAGAAGTGTGCCTGGATCTCCATGGATACACAATGGCAACTCTTAATATTACCATGGCTAGTAAACAGGACTGGGTGGTGATAGATGGATGTTGACAATAATGTCTCTGGAAATGGTAATATTAAGAAGTGCCATCTCTATCATCAAAAAGTACATGGTGTTTAAATTTCATAAACTTTCATTATTAGGTGTATCTGACTGTATTCTGCTCAAGAGACTTAGATGTCATGTGATTAGATAGTCGAACAGAATATTCCATTAGGTAAAATTCCTATTGCGTGTAAATATTTATACCTATTTGGTGATATGGATAGCTAATATTTTTGGATATTTTCTCATTTAATCATCTTAATAACTTTTAGAGGAGGTGCACCATTATTATTCTTGTTTTGTAGATTAAAAAAAAAACCTCTCTGGGTAGGGGATAAAATATTTGCTAATGTCACACAGTCACAGATTGCTAAATCCCAACCCAGGCAATCTGAACCTTTTGCGTGTATGTTAATAGGAGTTGAGAAAATATATATCCTCTCCTTGTCATGTCTTATAAATGCACAGTGAATTGTTTAGAAGAGGGAAAAAGAGATGAGAGCACATTATAAGAGTTGTATTCACACCACAAATAGCTTTTTAAAAGCTACTCTGTGAGTTAGTTTCCTTTTCAAATTACCAGGTTCTCTGGCTACTACTAGGTCTTAGCTGTTTTTTGAATATATTTGCCAGAACTTGGGTTGATACCTGGACTTGGGTCACAACCATGAGCTTCACAGTTCAGATTGTACCTGCTTTATTTAAATAAATCCTTGTGTCTTCAAAGACCTATTATTTTATAAAAACTGTTGGCCCACCCATAATAGGAAATGCAGACTTTCTGAGTTTTGAAAATTTAAGCCAAGACAGATTGACAGGTAGGAGCACAGTATGATACGATAAATCAAGGCTCCCTTTGGCTTTAATTAACAGTAAATTTCCATTTTAAGATTGGATGTGAACATGACCCTATTGAATGAGTAAAGGATTTAGGTGCTAGGTTAATTGTTCCTTCACCCTCATTTTAGAGATGGTTGAACTGAGGCCTAGGAGAAGTTAAATGTCTTGTCCCACATCACATAGTTAGCCTCAGCGTAGTTACAAACCAAGGGCTCTGCCCCTCAAACTAGTGGCATTCTTTCTAATTGTGTTAATACTTGATCCCTACTTGGGCTCACGAACCCAAGTTGTCATATAGATGCACATAAGCAAGTTGAGTTTATAGTCATGCTGAATTACTTATTTCATATTTGCAATGTCCTGGCAGTATTAGTTAATAACTCCACTGAGGAATATGTGAAGTACTGGAGTTCTTTGATGCCCTCTTTTCCTCCATTAATTTTGTGTGATTTGGCAACTGCAAGTTTATTTTAGATATGTGAAGCATACACATTCACCTTTTCAATGTATTAGTTATTAGGAGGAGACATAAAAAGTACAGAGGAGATGTTCCCAAAGGGGACTAGATAGTGCTGACCTCACAGCAACTTGGGGATGTCTGGGACAGATATTGATGGACAAAAACTGCTTAAATGTGGTACAACATGCTTATTTATACTTAATCAATTATTAAAGAAGCTACAGAAAGTCGGCAAGAAAAACCAAGCCTCTGACCTTTGCCGTAACATATGCTGTTATTTTATAGATTTTTAGAAGTAGTAATCTTCACCTGAAAAACTTCCGAGTTTATTCATGCAGAGACTTTGGAATTGATGTCTTGGAAAGTGATGCAAATACTTCAGTGACTGACAGCTTATTACTTGGTCATTTTGCCCACAAGGTAAGTGCCTTTATGTGGTTGTTTTAGGCTGTCCATCAAAACAGAATCATATGTGCTGGGCTCCCAGGAGGTGCAATTTTAATAGCATTTTTTGGTGCATCTTATATTTAATTTGTAAAAGTATTTTATTTGTTACAGTGGTGATATTTATAATAAAATTCAAATATATGCAGAGTTTCAATGGTATGAGTCCATATAAATTATAAAAATCATGAGTAGCTGGCAGAATTCTTATTTGGTTGCAATTTAGAATTATTATCCATACCAAAATAATAAACCAAATAATTTTAGGTTATTTTACTCTAACCTCACAAGGATTATGGAATAGCATAATTCTATCTTGTCCCTCTGCATTGTGGTTTGCCAAGTTTCTATATCATGATTTTGTTCATAGGGTCCTTCCTCTGTTTAAGGTGTCTCCCACAAAAAGAGGTAACATAAATTTACATTGTTTGCTATAATATATTAGGATTTCTTACTTGATTCCCTAACACTTGCCCAAGTGTGAGTTTCTACATGATAAACATCAGACTATAGATGGTTTCTCTGCCCCCATATGGCTAGGGCACCAGAATGTAGGTGAAGCAAAGAAGACCCCCCCAAGGTGAGGAGTATGAGTTCACTCAACGGAAGTCCTCGGCTGCCCTTGGCCTCAGTAAGCTTCAGATCTATAATGGGTCTCCTGAGACCTCCCTTTTGGAAGAGGTACATGCCTATTAGCATACCACTGTCAGAGCAAACATAGATGGAAGAGACCAATGGTACTTCAGGGGCCACGGAATGCACATTCTCTCTACTTTGTTCCTGAATTGCTTTGACCAATTGAAATTTAAGTGGTAGTTGTTGACTTTTGTACTTCTCTTGGAGATTATTTTTTTATTGCTATAGATATAAATGCTAAGATTAAAAAATCATTTTCTGTCTAAGGTACATTTCTCTATGTTTAATTCTCAGACTTACTTTTTAAATCTCTTTTGCATTATCCTTTTCAGGAGAAAAACATCTGCCAGTTTTTCCTTTTCTCTAGAAGGACTATTTGCTTGAGAGATGATTCTTTTTAGATTGTACAGTTTTCAAGGGAGGATGGGGCCCACATTTAGATTCCATGACACTGGTTGATCAAAGGCCCTTTCCATTCTTAGACCTTCTTCCCAAATACAATTGGTGGCACACAATTACCAGTGAGTCATATGCTGAAATAAACCCTAGTTTCTGAAAGAACTTTTTACTAGAAAGGATTTTTTTCTTTAAGCACATTTGTATATATGTTGGTTCTCTCACACCGGATATTGCCTTTGAATTGTGATGGGAATGATGCTGTTCAGTGAGGATGGCTTCCCTTTACAGGAAAGAGTGGCGCTCTGCACCATCCTCAGCCCTCCAAGTCCGCTTGTGTAGTTTGTTTATACCTGCTATCCTGGCATGCTACCTAATTAGCATCCCCCACTCACTCTCAGAATTGTCCTGATTTGGATGTAAATTATGATCACCCTACCCTTGGAAGTAGATGAAGGATAGTGGCCTTTTCATTGTTATTATATAATTAATTTGAGCAGGTGATAGCCCTTTAAAAAACATCTTATTGCAACAGATGCTGATGGGTTTGCGTCATTTTTCCTATTTCCCTGGGGGTTACTTCCAATTTTTCACTTGTAAAATTTGTCTCCCTCAATTTAGACCTTTCATCTTTTTGTTTCTCTAAATTCTGTTGTAGGACCCTTTGTCTTCTCAGTACACTTGCTCTCCCTGGGAGAAACCTCATTCTCTCCAGTGGTTTCAATTACCATCCACAGGCTGATGTCTCCCATATATTTACATTTATTTCTACCATCTTATGTTGTGTGTTCAGTTTGCAATCAGTTTTCGTTTCTTTTTTTTCTTCTACTTTCCAAACTTGATTTGTTTTGCCCTGAATAATGCCTTTTTTATGTTTACTCATTGAATGTGATTCATTCTGTTAGGAGTCGTTTAGTATTTGGAATTAAATTTTTAACATGTCTGCTTGTCTTAGTGAAGTCTAAGTGACATCAGTGCTCTTAAACTTGACCTGAGCAATGCAGAGATCTTAAATTCCTTTACTTTCTTTTTTCACCCTTCCCTCTTGTATGTTACTTTTCTCTAGTATTTGTTCCACTTTGTCAAATAACTACCTGTTTCATGGAAATATGACATTTATGGGGAAAAGTACAAATCACAAGTGAAGAGCTCAGTGGATTTTTATAAAGCAAAAACCACGTACATCCCACCCAGATCAAGTAACAGAACATTACCAGTTTCTCCGAAACGCCTTCAGAGGGGAAACCTCCTCTCATTCAACCCCAACCCCCAGACCTCCAGCCAAAGAGGAAACATTATTCAGATTTCTAGAAATGTAGATTAATTTCAAGTCTGTTTTTAAAGTTTATATAAATGGAATCATAGAGCATGCAACTCATGCTTGGCTTCTTTGGTGCAACATTGTATCTAAGAGATTAATCCATATGTTTATATGTTATGTATGTTATAATAATCTATTCTTCCAATTGTTTTGTAATAGTCTACTGACAATTACAAACTGACTGTACCACAATTTGTTAAATCTATGCTGCTATTGATGGACATTTGATTATTTCCAGTTTGGGGTTATTACAAATCATGATGTTATGAACATTCTTCTATGTGTCTCTTGGTGCTCATGTAGATGTATTTCTGTTGGATATATACCAAGTTGTCAAACTGGTGGGTCAGAGGATATCTCTTCAGCTTTAGTAGATAATGTCAAACAATGCCAAGTTGTTGTATTTGCACCAGCAGTGTGGGGGAAGGGTTTTCCTGTCATGTCCTGGGATTTCTCTTGATCATCATCCTAGAGATTCCCATCATGTCTCCCTAGTACTGGAGGCCCTGCTCCTGATTCCCACCTCTTCCTCTTTTTTGATTTCACTTTTCATGTTATTAAAGCACAGCCTATAGTAACTTTCTTGATAAAGTGGGAGGCTATGGAAGCTAAAGGCTTTGAGTTATGCAAGGAGACTTCCTTATTGGTAGATGGCTGGGTATAGAACAGCAGGTTGGAGTTGATTTTGCCTTGAGATTTTGAAGGCAGTTCTCCATTGTCTTCTACCTTTTAGTATTGAGGTTTAATAGTTTTAAGATATTCTGATGCTACATCTTTTATATGTAACTTTCTCATTTTTCCACTTAGTAAGTTTTTAGGATCTTGTCCTTGTCCCTGATATTTTGCAATTGCAAGTATATTTGTGTGATATTTTCCTATGTAGCTTTTTTGTTTTAACCACTGTGTGAGTCACTGGGTGGGACTTTTCAGTCTGGAAAATCATATCCTTCCTTCTAGGAAGTTTTCCTCAGTTATTTCTTTGAAAATTCTCTTCTTTATATTTTCCTGTTTTTAAAAGCTATTATTATTTGGATATTGGACCTCCTGAATTGCTTTTTCTAATCTTCTTAATTTTTCCCCTGATTTGCCAAATGTCTTTTCATTCTCCTTTCTAGGATATTTCCTCAGTTCTTTTGTTTGAATTTATAGTTTCTGTTCTAATGTTTTTGCTCCTTTTTTTCTTTTTTGAATATATCCCTTTTTAGACTTTTCTTCTTTTATGAATATCATATACTTATTTCTCTGAGGTAATAAATAATAGCATTTAAGTTTTCTTATGATTTTTTTTTACTGGTTTTTTCTCCACTGGGTCTCTTTTCTTTTGTTTCTTTTTGTCACTGTCTTTCATGGTGGAGGCCCCTGACAAATTTCTGGTGACCCTCAGATGTATAGTTATTTTTAACAGGGGAATAGTGAAGCACTAACAACTTGATTAGATGGAGTTTGTTGAAGAGATTTTTGTGGAAAATTTTGTAAGCACTATTTTTTTATTCTTAGACTTTTTAATTCTATATTAACATACAGCACAACTGACTTTTTTGATACACAGTTCTATATATGTGCAGATTTTGTGTAACCACCACCACCACCACAATCAAGATACAGAACAGTCAGTCAACCCCAAAAATCTTCCTCGGTCTCCATCTTTGTAGCCACATCCTCCCCTCATATCTGACTCCTGGAGGTCACTAATCTATTCTCTGTCCCTACAGTTTTGTCTTCTCAATAGTTATATAAATGAAATCAGATAGTTTGAGACTGGCTTCTTTCACTCCCAAGTGCCTTTGGGATTCATCTAATTTGTTGCAAGAAATGACATTTGTTCCTTATTATTGTTGGGTAGTATTCATGATATGAATGTGCCAATTTGTTTATCCACTCATTTGTTGGATAAGGGGCATTTGAGTTGCTTTCAGATTTGGAAATTACAAATGGCACAGTTATTACTATTTGTGTAGGTTTTTGAACACAAATTTTCATTTTCCTAAGGTAAATGCCTAGGAGTTGCATGGCTAGGTCACGACAAGAGTTATGTTCGACTTTATAAGAAACTGCCAGACTATTTCCACAGTGCTGTACTATTTTGCATTCCCACCAGCAGTGTATTAGAGTTTCAGTCATTCTTTATTTTCATCAACATTTGATATCATCACTACTTTCTATTTAATCACCTGGTAGGTGTGTAATGTCTCTTATTGATCCTTTGTCATATGTGAGATTTGCACCTATTTTCTCCCAATCTACAGCTTGTCTTTTGTTCTCGTTTTTATTTGTTTATCACCAATTGTGTTTCATAGTGCCAGTTATCTTATTTTTCTCTCCTTTTTTTCTCCTTCTGAATCACAGGAAAGCCTATGCATGTCAGCTGGGATCAAAACTCCCAAAAGATGGGAACTGATAGTATCTAACATAACCTTTGTTAATTTTGATCTCACTGATTGTGTGGCCATCAGGACCTGTTCGGGCTGTTCTCGAGGACAGGGTAAGTTGTTTGAATAGATAAGACAGACAGTAAATAAGGCCAACACTCAGATCATTATGATAAATAGTGGCAAAGCCTTTGTGACTCATTACTTCATTCAGTTATAAGATTGCATCAGTAGAAACTGCTGCTCAGATCTTTTAAAAGAAATCCTGAGGTGGGTCAGTGCTCCTGGTATGGCTCCTGAAGCTCTCCTAAAGCTCCCTGTTCTTTCCTGGGACGGTGTCCATCACGTCTGTCCTTATGGTGCCCTGTTTCTGCTGGACTCTCAGCTTCATAAAGGCAGATATTGTGTTTCTTAGGCTCAGATTCTGCCATTAGAACCTAGTAGACTGGTGCCTAGTAGGCAGCTCATTGAATGAATGAATGGAGTTGGATTGGTAGACATATGGATATTAGCTAACATTCACACAGTCTGTCCTAAGAGAGCCAGAATTCATGTTTTCCACAGCCCAAGGCTTGTTGCCTGCACAAAGACAACCATAGGGATTCTTGTTCACTTGTTAACCACAACTCAGAGGTGGTGAGCAATACCTTGGAGAACTCATGGGCTGAGGTGAAAAGAAGTAGAGAGCCATCCAGTTGATCATTGTAAATAGCCAAACCAAGTAATTCAAGTAAATGTGATCTTGTGGTTTGAATCACCAATTTAGATAATTGTTTGTATTTTTAATTAAATGATTAATCAGCAAGTCTCCACTTTTGTGTGTGTGTGTGTATAGACAGAGCCAAAGATTATTTTTATTTGGGTAACATCTGAGTTCAAGGTTGTAGAAATCAAGGGAATAAAAAGTGCCTTAGAAGATTCACCTCAAATCACCATTCCTTGGTTCTTTAATAGCTTCACTGTTTAATATCATTCATAAGATCCTGGAGAAAGCATATCCTTCCTTATGAGCTATAAATCCTTCTCACTATATGATCATGGCTAAGACATTTCTTTCACTTGTTTAGAAAATGTCTATTCCAGGTTCGGCTCAAGGTACGGGTGTACAAAGGTAAACAACACATAGTTCTTGTGTTCCAGGAACTCTTGATCTAGGAGCAATAAATCAATGTTGAAGCCAGCCAGTGTAATAGAGTGTGGTGGGTACAATTCTGCAGGACTGAACAAGGGCAGTGAAAGGAGTAAGGAAGGGGTCAGGGAACATTTCACAGAGGTGACTTGAGTAGGGTTTTGAAAGGTGAATGGAAATTTGCAAGGGGGTGTAGGCAGGGAAAAGTTTCTAGGTATTAGGAACGTCAAGTATAAAAATTTGCAATTCCGATAGGACTGACTTGCGGAGCTGCAGGAGGCCGTGGTATTAGGTAGACTAGAGCAGTTTGAAGAAGTTGGAATGCTTAACTTGATTCACTGCATGGCCTGTACGGGGAGGCAGAATGGAATTATCAGGGCCTCTATTTGTATCTTGTTCTTTTTATTTTCCTCTTTTGTGTATTTTATCATGTATGCAATACAGATGGATAATAGCATAGGTTCTGAGATGTGTACTCCGTTTTTTGAATTTTAATGACAGGGGTGTGCAAGTCGGGAAACCACTGCCATAGTTTCCTCCCAGGCAACAGAGCGAGCAGCAGAACCAATGGGTCACATGGGAGTGGTGTGGGGGAAAGACTGCTAGGAAGTGTGGCCCTAGAGCTGACAGTTGCAAAGGGTGTTACCATTTGCCCACGTGACTGACTGAATGTTGCTCTTGAATGTAAACAAAGTAAGAACCTCATAATGCTAAATGGCAAATTAGTATACTGATTCTCTGTTTCCCAATCGACCTCAGTTTCTCACTTTTGGCACTATTTCCATTCTGGCTTGGGTAATTTTTGTTTGTGGGGACTGTCCTGTATATTAAGGATGTTGGCAGCATTCCTGCCTTGATTCACCAGATCCACCCCGACGTGACAGCCAAAAATGATTCCAAGTAGCTCCATGGTCCCTCAAGGGCAAACCACCTCTGGCTGAAATCACTGCCCTAGAACACAGGCTGCATGCGCACGGCACCAATGCCACCCTTGTTTCCCACTGTATTGCCTGCGCAAAGCACAGAGCCTGACGTACCGTAGACATTCATGATTTTTTTCATTGAATAAAGAATTGAGGGAATCGTGAAGCTGTATAAAAATGCAATTGGAAGTACTGAAAACATCCCAGGGAATTCAGCTGCCATTTGTTATTATAGTCTTTTGTGCCATGTGTAACAGTCTTTCTGTCCTCCAATTGGTAGGTGGATTTACTGTGAAGACCAGCCACTTGAAGTTCACAAACTCTTCAAACCTAGTTGCATTTCCATTTCCTCATGCAGCAGTTTTGGAAGACTTGGATGGGTCTCTGTCTGGGAAAAGCGGAAGTCACATTCTTCCTTTTATGGAAACCCTTCCAGCTTCTTGTTTGGTCAATAGAAGCTTCAGTCAGGTTGCTCCTGGCAGTGTCTGCGGGGAAGATGCCCTCTTTCATCATATGTCTGTTGGTTTGTAAGTTGAACTGACTATACTTTTCAGTTTGCCAATGAACATGCATCTATCATTCAGGCTGTTGAGGTTTATAGAAGGGAAATTGTTATCAAGATTCTATTGAATCAAGAAAATCTAGTTCTGCAAAAGTGATAAGGGAATCATTTTGACAGCTGTCAAATCATAAGTTTAGAGTAGTTGGAGGCTTATTCAGATGGTAGCTAACTTTCAGTATCACTGGACCAGATCTGTAGCCCATGACCTCTTACTGACATTTTGAGCTAACAGCTTCCTCTTGAAAAGACTTGCAACCAACAGAGAATTTGAAATGTATTTAAATTAAAAGTATTATTAAAAAAGTCCAATAATGTCCATTCTCATTTATATATGTGTACTCTCCCCAACCTCTTTTTAAGTGTTCAGTATGCTCCAGGGAAGCAATTGCTGATGCCTTCCTATTACTTGCAAAGTTGCTTCACTCCAGTTCATTTTCCTTGTTAATTTCATGAACTATTGGATTCGTACAATACATTTCCTATTAATATTGGAGCAAGGACTTCTTGCTTATGCTAGTCAAGCCACCATTAAGTCAGCAGCTGGCTGTTTGTAATGCATAATAGGATTGTTTCTGTTCCCTTTAATTTCCAGGTAATGATTGCTGAGTGTCTAGGTTCTATCTTTCACCTGTTTCAAATGCATTGTATATATTTAGCCACATTTCTTTCCTTCCATTGTTTAAGTGTCCTAACTGCATGAATATTAAGTCAAGAGATTCAGCCAGACCATACTGGCATCTTATTTAAACAGGGCCACTCCAGAGAGTGAGTCTGTATGGTCAGGTTTGCATCAAGTCTGAATTTTGAATGCATATGGAAACAGTATCTTGATATTCTGTGTTAGAAGCCTTAACAATACACTGCTAGGATTGAATAGTCTGAAAATTTTCCACCTTTGATTTCCTGTTTATTATTCTATCTAATGTTAATGGACCCAATTCTAGTGAATAAAATAGCAGTGTGGAGAGATTTATTTTTATTTCTAATCATTTTGATTGTACTTTTGATTGAGCATGACTTTTTTTTCATTCTTAGGGATGCATCCTCATTTTTATTGATGATTTTTATCAAAGATGTTCTTAATGATTATTTTGAGATTTATAAGGGTTAGTGATTTATTTCTTAAAATGCATTTTTAAATGAGGAAAATTGAAAGAGTTGAATAGTTAGAAGAAACATTATGCATTTGTATAAAAATTACTTCTCTGTATCCTTAATATTCCTTTTTCATACTTATCTCAATATCTACTGGGAGACTATCTCTTAGAGAGGCAGTTAGCGATGTAGTGTCAGGAGGTTCTGCAGATGTAGTATTGTCTGAGCATCTGTTCTTGGACATCCTCAGGACAGGATGCATAGATGCTTACCTTGGTAACAGGTCATGACCCCAGCACACAGGGACTGACAAGGTCAGAAAGACAATAATCCTGATAAGATATTCTAAGTAGGCTCCACCTAGGGTGGAAAACTTGTGTTGGTTTGTCTGGAATTTTCTTGTTTTAGAATAGAAAATCTCTGGTCCTAGATACTCCGTTAGTTTTGAGAAAACCAGGATGGTTGGTCACCCTACTCCCTATTCTTCTATTTAAACATTTTCAGGTTGACCCACAGGTCTGTGGACAAATGCCCCATTACCCCAAAGTTGCTCCAGGAAAGTCTCAGCATGCTCCCAGTTACAAGTCTCTTGGCCCTAGTGTCCTCATCTCTAGGATAAGGCTCTTGGAGTAGATGATCTCTAAGGCCTCACTCACCAAAGTGCATCTACATTGCCTGGGAGCTTGTTAGACAAGGGAGAGCTCAGACTCCACCGCAGACATTCTGAATTGAAATCTCCCAGATGATTTATATTAAAGTTCTAGAAGCCCTGCTCTGAAGTCCCTCTAACTTTATCTTTCTATGATTCCGTCCTTAGCAGTTTGTGCTCAGTGACTTGATCTTTATCCCAGAGCATTATAACCTCATTAGGAACATGTCAGAGCTAATGAGCAATTTGAATTCAGCATAGATACAAACTTTGCGGCCTTTCATGGAGAAAGGATTAATTTGTTGTGCTGTTTGCCCTGGAGCAAGCACCCTAAGAGTTGATTTACAGAGCTCTCACAGCTATGATCTTGGGGGGTTGCATGTTGATGGAGATCTGTTATGGCACAAGCACCCTGCTGCCTTCACTTTCCACTCTTACCCCCTCCCCCAGCTCTTGGTCCCCAGAGGGCAGGACGCTAGGCCTTGCATAGCTGCATAAACAAGGAACCCCCCTTCCTCTTTGCTAACAGCCAAGGGACTGGAGTATGATTTCTTCCTTGAAAGTTCCTGTCTATGGTCCAGTTTCACTCTAAGTTCTTATTTGACATGGGCAGCATTCTGCCCCTGTCCTTCACAACCTTATTTAAGTCTGATGGGCACCCATGTCTGGACCTGACTTCTGTTACAGCTCCCTCTGACTCGACCCTAGCAGTTGGATAGACAGAGGCATAAAAATATTTGAGGTTGGTGATGATATTTAATATTTAGGTGAAGAAAAAATTCCCACCCTCTCCAAGGCAGAGTCTCCTTAATGTTTTCTTAACATGACAACAAACTGGATCTGCATGAGTCCTGCTTTATTTTTCTCTCATGCGCTCAGTTATAAGAACATGCTTTCTGTAGGAGCCACAAGATAGTCTTTTCCCCCCAACTTCCGTTTCTACCAACCCCATCCTTCCTGATAAGACAGGGGTGATGTTAGCCCTACCAACCTAAGTCAGAACCTCATTCAGAAAAATATGTCAGTGACCACTTTTCTCCAGAGGTCCCATAATGATGACATGCCTCACAGAGTTCTTGGATTTACTGATCCCAAAATTTCGATCAGTGATTTCTTCTGGAATAGTTACATGGCACAAGGTTAATGATGCCAACAGATTTTTGTGTGTTCCTTCCAGATCTCCCTTGCAAGTTCCTCTCCCTGTCCATTAAATACTATGTTCTTGAGGGTCTGTGAGGCGCTTTCCTTTCCTCTCAGGTGATATTCTTCCTATGTGACCTGGGGTTATTTCACCACCTCAGTGAGCATTCACTGATGCTTCCAGATCTCCTTCCTCCGCTCTGCACTGTCATACTGACTTCTAGACCATTCATCCAACTGCCTCAGGATCTGCACTGACCAGTATTATAGCCACTAGCCACATGTGGCTATGAGCACTTGAGACGTGCCTAGTCCAAATTGAGATGTGCTGTAAGTATCAATTACAGACCATATTTCTAAGACTTCATATGGAAAAAAGAATGTGAAATAATCTCAAAATTTTTTCTATATTGATTTTAATGAAACAGTAATATTTTGACTATATTGAGCTAAATAATAGGATTTAAATTAATTTCACCAGTTTCTTTTTTACTTTTTTCATGTGGCTAATGTAAAATTTAAGATGATACCTATGCCTTGTGTTATATTTCTATGGAGCAGTAATGCTCTCAATGTTTCCACTAGATTTAATAGCCATCTCAAACTTGACCTGCCAAACTGAATTTATATTCTTCACCCACAGACTGTCTCTCCCTGGGTGTTGAGAATCAATGGGTGATCGGGCAAATGCTTCAGTTATCTAAACCAGGAACGTGGAGGTGCCTTGACTGATCTTCTTACCTTATTTTCCACAACAAATCACCTACCACGTCTAGTCCATTTTCTCTCTTAATATAAAGAAATTTCTCTTGAGTCTCTCAATGACTCTTCTTCCCAACTTTCCCTCTCTAGTCCAGGTTGCCATGGCCTCTCACCTGTTTAACTACAACAGCTTTAATGCTGCCTCTCTCTGATCCTATCCTTGAACTTCATAAATGCAGATCGGGTCTTGCCATATCCATTCATTCCCTTGCTTGAAACTTCTGATCGGTTTCCCAGGGCCTCCGGAAGAAAGCCCGGCATCATTACTGTCTCACGGGCCCTTCGTGACCTCCTCACTGTTTATGCTTCAGCTTCATCTGTCACTGTGCTGCCCTTCCCTTCCCCGCATTCTCTGCCTCAGCCACACTGAACTTCTTTGTGCTTTTCAGTTCACCAGCTTCTGTGTCCATGACCTCAGCATGAAGGCTGTTTTCTCTGGGGAGCTTCCCTTCGTTTCTTGGGCTGGTTTGTAGTATCCCTGGATCTCTATATTTGCTCTAACTAATACTCTAGCTCCTACATAGCTTTATAAATTGTCCATCTCTGCTTGTAGATGGTCAGTAGGGTTTGTAGATGGTCAGTAGGGTATAGATAGGGTTTTTATTTGTTTCTATTATAGTGTCCAAAATTGTATTGAACACAACTCAATACAATTAATATCAAATAAATGAATATAATTTAAAAAATTATGGAGTCCTCAAAATCTTCCTTCAGTGTCTTTATTGTCCATTTCTGTCTAAGGACATGTTTGTGAGGCCCAGGATTAAAATACTGTCCTCAGTCTTTATCCCTAAAATTTCTAGGTACATGTAGTACCTAAGGATGTCTTTTCATAATGTCTTCTGGGCTTTTGCTTTCCTGGGGCTATCAGTTGATTTATTTTAACAGCTGATTCCTTCCCCACTTCACCCTAACCCCACCCCTACTGAATCAGCAGTTTGCCTACATTTGCAATATTTTCTTCCCCTGGTGGTACAGATGCATAGACTTGTGATAGGGAGAATGAAAACTCAACCCTCACATTTACCATCTGGGAATGATTCTTATTTTTTGGTCTAGGATATTCTGTAAGTACTTCAGTTGTCATAGATTTATTCAGATATCAAGAAATCAAACCTTGATCTCTTTTCCAATTGTTGACTGGGTGAACATGGGGAAAATTTAAAGAGTTTACAAGATATTATAGGTTGGCCAACTGGTTCCTTCTGAGTTTTTATAGGATATGCATAAAATAAAGTCAGGACACATGCAGATTTTTAAAATTATTTTTCAAATACTAAAGAGTGGAGAAATAATTAAGAATTATTTGTGTGTAGTTG